TATAGAAAAACATAATGGCCTCTCCATAGTTCCCAAACCCAGTAACATTAAATAATTATATTTAGAGGATTAACTCCCTTTCTTGGCTTTCTTTCTCTTTTTGTTTGCTCGTAAGGCAGGCATCATAGGATCAAGGTAAAACATGAGTCAAATTCTAGATTTTTCTGCTTAACATTTTGACTATAACTTACCAACATGAGTTAGGTGGTAACAGTAAGACTGCTAACAAGTCATAAAATTTTTTCTCTTCTTGTCCTATACAATTATGAAAGATACATATCTATACTTCGTCACCTCAGAAAATGACAATACCATAGATGAACATAATTGTGAGTACTAGTATTAATATTACCGTAATGTAATAATGCTTTTTACTATTCATTATTAAATACATTAATAGTATGCCTGAAACTGAGCCAGAAAGCTTTCTTCAGTAATTGTTAATCCCTGTCATTAATGGTATTTGGTCAGAAAAAGAGGGAATTGGCATGATGTGAGAAAACAATTTTTAATATACGCTCTAACTACAAGTAAGATCTCCGCCAAAAATACAGTTAAGACCACAATGTATTCAAAATTGTACATATGTATTTTTCTAGACATTGTCTATTTCTCTATTACATTCTGAAAGAAATTCAGAATCCCAAAATAATTATGAACCCTATTTATTCTTAATACTGAACACTGAAGATTTCATATTTTCAAAGTTAAAGGAACACTACACTCTCTTCATAACTAAGACATAATCACTAGTATACCACTCAGATAAAACCAAACTTAGAGTTGCATTTCTCAATTTAAAAATAAAAACACCTAAAAGAATGGGACTGAAAGGTGTACAATAGGGACTGCACTTAGACAACAGACAAAAGGTTCCTATATTCCTTTCCCACTGTTGTATTTTTACCTCAGGACCTGCCACCAAATCAAATTTTAAATCCTACACTTAATATTTGACAGTGTTGGAAAGGTTTCTATTAAACCACTCACTCTTCAAATGAATGCTAGTGTTCAAGTATCACACAGAAAGTTACACAAGGGGCAGACCTAGTTTCATAATCCTGATCTCCTGGTTGCTAGCACAAACTCTTTACACTCCAGATTATGAAAAATAAATCTACAAATTTGGATTAAGAGACCCTTTGTTGTGCAGTGATCCTGGACAATACAACTGTCATTTTACTTCCACAGCCTCTAGCTCTGTAAGGAAATAAACTACTGGTTAGAACCCATTAAGACTGTCACGATGGGCTGGTCAGATAGCTCAGTGGACTAAAGCACCTGCTTAAGCAGAGCATATTGGCCGAGATTCAATCCCCAGCTTCCCATGCCGACCCCGCAATTCCAGTGCTTGGGAGGCTGAAAACAGGAGAATCACTAGGGAGTGCAATCTACATAGTGAGACCCTGTACACCCTGTAGACCCTGTCCTAAATTCATAAAAAGACCGTAGCTGTGACAAATGTTTGTGTTCTAACTTGCTTTAAAAATAATAAGCTTCTTGCCTGGCAAGTGCAAGGTCCTGAGTTCGATCCCTGATACCCAAAAAAGAAAAAAAGATAAGCTTCTACTTTAGTGGGTCATTTATTCTCATCTAAACCACAAAGATAAATCTTCAAGGTTGTTTTCCATAGCATACTTCAAAGGCTAATAATATATATTATCTAACTAGAAAAATAAAAATCATTTCCCAAGATACAATCCTTTCTTGAAAAATACAATTTTGCTGTGATCAGTAATGCAGTTTAGGCCCAAATAAAACCGTCTGGGTATGTTGGTACACCAGAGGGCTGCGACTGGAGGACTGCCACAGGGGCCAACTTGGGCTAGATGAGTTCAAGGTCAGCCTGAACTACATAGCAGAACACCGTCTGGGTGGGGGAGGAGGGGGAAGGGTCAGGTGTGGTGGCCCACGCCTGTAATCCCAGCACTTAGGAGGCTGAGGCAGAAGATCACTGAGAGACCAGCCTGGGCAGCAAAGTGAGTTCAATGAGGCCAGCCTGAACTGCACAGTCAAGATGCTGTCTCAAAAAATTTAAAAAAAAAATAATCAGATGACAAGGATGACTTCACCTGGAGAACTTTGTTCAACTACCTGGATGAAATCATAACTGCTGGCAACACTCATCTAGTTCCGTACTTACCTAACATGCAGCTCTAACTACTGTCAGTACTGTTTTCCCGGACGAAAGGGTCAAAGACAATGCCAATGTGCCTCTGTATCTCCCTACGATGTGGCAAGATGACAAGTCAAGAATTCACTTTCTTTTCAAACGTGGCCCCATCGCACCTTGTGCTTCAGAGTGCCTTTTTCAAGCAGTCTCTAGAGCGATGACTTTTCACAGCTCATTAAAGACAAAAAGACGCGACCACAGGCTGGCCCAAAACAGGCCAGGAATGTGACCCATGGCGTCAGGAAACTTCCCGTGCTGAACATTACGTCTTTAGAGAATGCGCCCGACAGAAACCCCCAAGAAGCAAAGTTACAACTCCGACTCCGGGTAGCATGGCGCCACCCGGGCCGGGCGAAGGGTCCCGGCCACACCGGAGCCGCCCGCCGCCACACCCCGGGCTCCGCGGCAGCGAACCGGCCGGCCGGGCGGAGACCTCGGGGCCTCTCTGGGCGCGACAGAGGGACGGCTGTCGGAGAGCAGGGCCGGGCCGC